GGCTAAAACACGTTTGGATGTAGCTTTGGGTCAAATTAGGTGTTAAAATGTTTATACACTATATAGAAGATATGTGTAAAGTTACATTAACTGAACGAAACAATGATTTAACCAGCAATAAGAAAAACAAACACAAGTGCTGCGTCTTCGTTGGCAGAAACAACGTAACACTTATTCTAAAGATTACATGTTTGATTAAGTTTGGCGGATACTCTTAAGAGGTGGCCGAAAGCATAAAAACCGACCACCGCTACAGCTATCACGTCGCCACTTTCTTCACCTTTCTGATTGCATCCTTTTGTTTCTCCATTGGGCTACAACGCCAAGGTGATTGTCCACAAGGCATTTTCCTGACCAAAGAGGGGAGGCCCAAAAGCTTGTGTTACCAAAGAAGTCGGGCGACGTGAGAGCAGAAGTTTTCTGCAAGACGTTTTTCTCTGTACCCTAAAAGAAGATGGTTTATGCGCAACAGTCAAGGAATAAAACCTATAAATATTTAACGGTCAAGTTACGTTTGAAGTTTTTGTTAAACCACAATAGGAAGCGTGTCATTAAGCAATACCTACATGCCAGCGATGTTACTACTACGTCATTTGGCTGAAACTTCATCGTGCACCTTTGGGCACAATACAAGCCCAGTAAGATAATCAGGTCTCATCAGAATGGAATAATATCGGCGAAGAAATTTGTCGAAAGCACGCCCAAACGATTAAGGGCTGTGAACAGTATATTGAATAAGTTAATAAGGTTTGCCACTGTGGACGAAACTTTGCACATGTATAACTAGTAGATGGACACTATGAGGAAAATGATAATTTCGATAATTAGAATACGGAAGCTTACTTTTTTTCCATCACAGCAACTGCTTCTTGACTGATCGACAAGACCAGTGCAAAATGTGCTCGAGGTCAAAGGAAATGGTCGACTTCAAAATGGTGGGCTGGTTACAGCTTGGCTTTAGTTTCAGCCAACACTTTGGTCTGACGTTCCACTATGCTCAAGTTCACATCTATCGAAAAGAAATCACAACTGAATCAACACTGAACTACAGTTTTGAAGTCAACCTTTGTCCAGTAGTCTTCAATCGCTCAACTCCACACACTAAATTGCAGTGCTCCAGGTCGTAAACAAAATTGGTTGGTGTGCAATGAATATGTACATGCCTTTTGCCTCAAGGGAAGACAGCAAAAAAAATCGCGCAAAGCTGCAAAAATTTCGGAAATTTTCTTTGCAACATTCAATATTCAGCGTTCAAAATAACAGTTTTAACATTACGATCATGATGCTTTTTCACATACGTGGTATCTGGCCCTTTTTCTAATAGTAAATATTTTCATAAAAAGAAACAACCATTTCTTAATGCGAATATTTTGCCTAATAAGGCTTTCTTTCAGCAGAAAGAAAAAGGCTATAGAATTTCAGAAAATCAAAGAAAAAGCTGTACAAGAGAAGCAGGAAGGCATGCAATACAGAGCTGGGGGATTTTGAAGTAAAATTTAGGCTTATTTGTATTGTGAAACAATGAAAAACTTTGAATACAATTTTCTCGACATGTAAAATCATAACTATTTCCCAAATTGTTTATACAACATTGTTCCCAGAAAGCTTAAATTTCGCTTGGCCCTCAAATGACAAACCTGGAATGTGTTGGGACCGGGTTTGAGTATTTTTATGACTAAAGTAGGGAGCTCAGAGGCAACTGCCATCAAATTTTCGAATAGCACGACAGAAATGGTTCATTTTTGCACGAAACAATTGGAAATTTCACCTTTTTGCTCCCAACAATCTGCAGCTGCATGTTTTATCATGGAGTCCTATAAATTTTAAGAAATTTGGTTCAAATCTTTAGCTGCGGCTTGGGAAATGCCAGATGTACTAATATTTTAGGTTTTTCAAGACTATCTCAGGAACCGCTTGATGTAAAAGATCTTTGGAAAATAAGTTTTTCAATAATACCAAATATTTTTATTTCCTGCAAAGCATTTATATTTTCACATTTTTTTTTGCTCATAGTCTTCCCTTAAGGCTGTACCGGATGCATCGGCAACCACCAAATCGGCCGCCGACAGGACATCTGCACCCCATTGAGCACCTTCAGGTTTTCGCGATACCGATAGTCGCTCACCGAAAAATATATTGAAGGAACAAAGCGTTATTCGGATTGGTACCGTATTAATGGGATCAACAATATTTTTTATAGTATAGTCAAGCAAAAAATTTATACAACTTTTTCTTCTGAGTGTTATAATTTGTTGGCTTTATTTTCTCTCAAGTTCCTTTCTCTTCAAAATACTTACGACCAATTGGCTCATGACTGGTAGTAATGCACTTCTAAATTCATGGAGACACACATCTTAAAAAAGCTATGGAAAAGTGCTGACAACACTGCAACACGAACTGTGGACGGCTATTGTACGAATAATTCCTAAGTGGAACTCATCTAGCGAACGGGAGAAAAGGAATTCGGAGAGTAAAGAAAATAAAACCCTCCGTACTTCAGATTCCGACTTGAGAAATAGAAACTCACCTCAAGGACGCTGAAAATGCGCTAGGTGGCAGGAAATCCCCGTCCAGGCGCTTCCATCGAGGACCGCGACCGCTGCTGCTGCTGCTGCTGCACCGCCTTCTGCGACCAAATCATATTGCAGTTCAAGAACTCTAAAGGGCATATAAGCTACAGGCGATGAAAGAATGAAGGGGACTTGCAGACGCAGACATCTTCTAGAATCAAGCTGGAAACTTCCGTACCACGGTGACAACCTTCCTCATGCGAAGAGCCCGTCGTGATCGAGGCGCATGGAGTCGAGTTTGATGTGCATCTGCTCTGCCGTCACTTTCCATCCTCATGTCTCAGATGTCAATGATCGTTTTCTCATGGTCGAGTTTCATCCCATTACTGCCACGGTATCCGAAGTCTCTCTGGATATGTCTTTATGGGTGCCATTCAGGAGAAAGAATACCGGCTTTCGTGTCATTCATCCTCTTCTTTTTGGTTATCTTTCGCATTAATGCCAAAGTTTCATCCTTGAGAAACACCGCGACGAGAGCCGAGATCTTTAACACAATGACCGCCGCCATTTTTTTTATTCACACGCCACAGAAATTTGGAAAAAAAAAGTATTTAAAAAATTATAAACCCAATCTTTCATTTTTTTTTATTAACACGCCTATAACATGTTTACTTCCACGTCAGAGTTTCTACGATGTACCATGCTATGTAGTAAGAGATATCTCGTACTTGGCGGTCAATATGTTAAAGCGAGAGAATCGGAAAGAGAGCTTGCTCACCGGCAAAGTCGGAAATTGAAGGGAAGCCCAAGGCCGAAGACACAACAGACATGTGGGTCCACGGTGGCAAAGCCGATTGAGGAGTGTAGAACTTGAAGGACTTAAGGACTTCTGGCTACGGACTCGACTCGAGACTCTGCCCAGGAACTTTCCCCGGTCACGACAGACGTTTGCTTGGCTTCAAGTCAGGGTCATGGGAGTCGTTCGGACGTCGAATAGATTTCGCCCCGTGCAGACAAGTACGCAAATACCTCGGCACGGATTAGCAGTCCGAGACGTAGTTTGGCCCGAACGGATACAATGCGAACGTGCCACTCGTCGAACGTCCTTTATCGAAGGTTATTTGAAATGTGCCACATCTGAATGACGGGGGAGACGCATGACCGAGGGTGCCCCTGTTGTTGGCTGCTTGCCGAAACGACCGAACCACCCTCACCCGACGGACTCCCCGAGTCGAACTAAGGGAAGAACTAATGGGGAGTGGGGGGTGCGGGGTCACGTGACCTCGACGCCAGGAGCAAGCTTTTCCCTCTCGTCTCGTCCAATACACAACCAGACGATGTCAGACGGGGCAAAAAAAAGGGGACGAGAATAGAGGCCGCGTGAAGGTCACCTTCCTCTGTCTCAACAGTTATCGGCATTCGAAGGTGATTCAGGAAATAAACGCGTTAGATAAGAGACTGGAATTCCTGGTATACGGGAGTTCAGTCGTGCATATTTCTGCATGCTTTTTTTTTTTTTTACAGTGATCGTAAATCCAGACGATAGCCTCAAATGAAAGACCTGAAGATCCGTTTGCGCTCAGAACTGGAATTCTTATCACCTGAGACGAAATACCGTCGTGTTGCCATACTGTGTATGGCGACGTAAAGCTCCAATGCATATGAAGATAGTCCCATAAAAGACGGTATCACGGTACCAAAATAGATACCAGATAATACCAAATTTAAAAATTTCACTTAAACATACAAGTAACAGTATGGGGGAGTGTTCATTTGATAGGTTCTCGAGCGACGTTTCGAAATTTTTGAAACCGCTATATTACCTCTCATTCGGCATCCTCGCGCACGTCTCATCTATCTCGTCTCGATGCAATCACTAGCAAAGGCAGCATCGGTTTCTATGTTTACGTGTAAAGGGTTGGGGTTTTGGGATTTCCGTCATTGCAGCAAGATTGCTCCAGTGAGCGATCGAGTTAGGGGTCGTGGAGTTGTTTCTCTTTCTCGTCTGGGGCTCACATGGCAGCAAAGCCTGTTGCATTTACCCTCGGTCCAGCTATCAAATAAAGAAAAAAAAATGCAGTGTAAGGAGCAGCCGGTTTTGGTGAACGGGAGACAGCTCCATGTCGGCGAAGCCTCACTAGACAACTTTCTACGTTCAAGGGTCTTTCCGATTTTAGGTTTTAAAAAGTTTTCACTGCAGTTTTGGAGGATTCTCGATTTTTCTAAGAAAGGCAGAGCATTGTGAGCATTCTACGGCGAGACACGAAATAAGAGAGACTAAAAAGCAGGATCTGTCCTCCACTCTTGCAGTCGAGGAAGAAGGAAGCGACGCCGCAGCCGTTTTTTCATTCCAAGATGGAAAACGGCTTCGTGGATCAACGGCCACGCTTAATTTCAGGAGGAAGAAACAGATGTAAAATGAATAAATCGAGTACGCTACTTTCTGAAACACATATAATTCATTTCCAATAGAATAAATCTCTAGGATTTCGTAAAGGAAGTACAAGGGACCGAGAAGCAATTCATCTTTGGAATATCGTTTCTCGAGGAGTTTTCGACCGGAAACAGGAAAGTGCAGGCGAAGACTCTCCTCTCTCAAGTTTCTGACCGACATTTCTCCCCGTGATACATTTAAGCGAGATCCCTCACTGGAAGCCGTCCGAAAACGAAGGGTATTTCGAGCATCAGTCCCTCTTTCGAGACGAATCCCTCAGAGCGATGTCGCCGATGAATTATATCACGAAAATGAACGCTTCGGTTCGGACAGTTTCTCAGCTGTAGTAGAAGAGTCATTAAAATGGAGGAAACGGAGGATCGTCGCTTTTCTCCTGCTACCAGGATGGACGATCAGAACATGCCCAGGCCGTCGTTCTCCTTGTTCCCCTTTTTCTCGAAGAACATGAAGTCCTAGACAGAAGGGGAAAAAAGGCCCCTTTCGCGTCCACTCTCCGCAAAACAATAGACGTGAAGTGAGAGTAAAAAGGGGGAAAGGTTCTCACGATGAGGAAGGTGGCAGCGAGGATCAACGCCTTGAGGTTCACGTCCAGTTCGAGAGGGAAAGAGACGCCGAAGTTATCCGCATCCGTGAATGCCTCTTTGACGAGTCCCGACCATTGCTTGCTGATCTTCCCGATCGTCATCCCGTCCACGGCCTTCACCTGGATTCGTACACGCACCCGTTCTCACCGACTTCGTTCACGTTCGAAGAGAAACGCGACGTCGAACGCCGAGTCCGAGTGGTCCGTCTCGATCGCGAGAACGCGTCGAGACTCGAGCGGCAGTGAGCATTTGGTGAAGGCGCTCTTCCCTTCGTCCGGAAGTGGCTCGTTCTGAAGGATTCGGGGAAGGAGTTCCTCACCTCGACCCGAAGTGGCGCATCCTTAAGTCGCAAGAGTGTTAAACACAAACTATAAATGAGATTTTTACATTCGAAACGTGCAACGTCCTGGCCAGAACGGACTACTCGGACTCCGAACGCCTGAAACGAGGAAGAAGAGGATAAAAGACCTGGAATTCCACATCCCCGCAGAGGCTAAAAGTGCAGAAAGGGCCAGAGATGTGGGCCAATTTGTTGCCCACAGCATCCACGATCCGGAATTCCGGCGTGAGGATGCTCCACTCTTGCTGCACCATCCCGATCAGCTGACCCGGCGGCGCCGACACCTCCAATTCCTAGCGCAAAAAACGATCATCATCAAGCCCAGGCGGGCTCGTGAACGCTAAAGTGGAGAGACCGAGAAAGTGACCTGAAGGCAGCAGGGGAACCAACACGAATCGCACATGAGAGGCCGGTAGAGGTGCATCACCTCCTTCTTGTGATTGTCGAAGATCTTCATGCCGAACGGCCGAATCGGCCCGCAGATGTTCCTGGTGCAGCAATCCGAATCCTCCGCTGCCACGTAGACCCTCTGACCCATGCTGTTCTTCACCGAATACTTGTTGGCCGTCTCGAAACCCGTGAATGCTGCAACGACCGACCGTGCAAATTACGAGGCGTCCAAACCGAGCAGTCGACGTTCGAGACGGATCGATCCCGAACCTTCGAGCAGCTCCACCTTCTGCTGAATGAGAAGCTGATCGACCATGGTGAGGTACTCCAGGCCCGGCGGGCACATGACACGCTGCTCTGGCCTCGGTATCCAACCTCCACCCGATCCTCCTCCCCCCACTGCCCCAGCTGCATCGAAGGGAAAAAGAAGGTTCACGATGGCGTCATCGATCCCCCGTGCCGAACCCGGTGACGTCAGCGTCACGTTTCAGAGTGAGGATCCATTCTATTTCTCGGCCAACATAAATTCAATAGGAACATACTTGAGAAGGGGATTGCCATCGGCTAATAACGCCACGCGTTTTCATACTCGTTAATCTGCAGCGCCGAACAGCAGTTCAATGCTTCAATTTGTTTTTCCAAAAGAAAGATGACTTCTGTGGAATGTAATGGGCCATTTTTCACACGTCCTTCCTGGCCGAATGAAATCGTTAAGGACAATAGGAGGATAAGGACGATGCAGCGAGATTTCAAGTGCCACTCCATGGATCTGCGTCCGACGATATCTTTTTCTTCACTTTCCATATATTCTGGGATTCGAGCGTTCAGATCAAGGGGGGTCGGAGAGACCCCTCTTAGATCTGCGCAGAAACGCGTTTGGGGGGGTGGAACGCCTCGCACTTTTGGGTATGCTGTGTAAGTAGACAGGGTAGCAAAGCGCGCCTTTGGCATGGGAATCCGGGCAAGACCATGACATTGCGTATTCCGAAACGTGTGAATATGTCCTTTTCACCGAAAATCTCTTTCTGTTTGGTGTGAGTTTTGTGAATTCCATGTCATTCCATCTCACGTTGGATCGGAGCTGTCATGAAAATATTTTTTCCGTCATCATTATTCCAAATTTTTTCACTTCAATTCCTAACGATCCCGGTTCATCCTCACTGCATTTTCCCTGTTCAGGTGTCTCAGTCTAGAAGAGTTCTGATAGGTATGAAGATCCCAATATCCAATGGATGGATATACTGGTACTTGCATTTGATAACTTATTTCACAATTGAGTATTTGTGAATACTCCTTGGTGAACGAGTTTTTGAATCATAGACACATTTCCTCGTAGATCTTCGACGACCGTTCCTTTTTTCCATNTGCAGCCAAGGAGAAATGGTTATCAGCTTATGACCGAATGGACTTGCAGGATAGGACAAGGAGCTTTGTTTGCTCCAATCACTTTCTTCCTAGTGACTATGAAGGGGGGCATAAAAACAAGCTTCTAAAAAAAATCGTCCAATCCACTTTGTCTTGATGAACCTCCACACCTTGATCAAGATCAAATGCAAATTGAGGTATCGATGAGACAGAGTGAGGAGATATCTTAAACGACAAATCTCTCAATTCCATCAAAATGTTGCCCTGAAATCAGAGAGAAATTGAAATTGAAAATCAGGATTCTATCAGGTCTGAAAGTAAAATTACGAAGAGTCAGGTTAGAAAATCTAAAATTCAAGAAGGATGTGAAATGTCTCAAGAAAAAACTTGCCGAGTTCTCCAAATCACGAAAAAAAGAAAGCGCTTATGTAAAATTGTTGGAAAGACATTTTTCTTCTGCACAGTTACATGTTCTCAAGGGAGGAAAGAGGCCAAAACAGTAGGGTCATGGCGAATTGGTGAAGGCTTTGTGTCTCAGGGCTCTCTCCCCCAAAGCCTTCACATACGTTCGAGAACAACTGAAAATTCCACTTCCTGGCCTATCAACCTTGGCCAAGTGGTTCGGAAAATGAATATATCCCCAAAGCAAGCCCCCACCCTATCGAAGCCAGCTAAAGGCGAATCATATCCCAGCTGTGACGTCACTACACGCACATTCACGTGCCTCAAGTGACTGCGCTCCCTCCTCGGCCGCTAGGCGCGTGAGCCACTCGAGCCTATCTGATAGTCTATATATCTCGGGTGGAAACGTCCTCTTTGAGTCTATAACACCTATCAAATGACATGAATGTTACGAGGTATTTCTATGCTTCACTGAGACGTCATTCTGACTCATTCAGAGAGATAGGGAGATAGCGAGAGAAAGAGAGAGAGAAAGAGAGAGAGAGAAAGAGAGAAATCCTCGAAAAAAGATTGCCGACTTTTTAACCAAGAAAAGCCCTCATGCACGAGCCGATGAGAGGCCGACCGAGTGGTTCACCGGTGTGGTTAAATGACTCACCGTCCACGATGAGGGCAAACTAAATCGGATACCAGCTGTTCTCGCCAAGGCAGCTGTTGGCTCCGAGGAATCTAGGATGAGGTTCTTCTCACGGTTGGAGTCAGTCTAAGGACTTTATGCCGGATTTTCAACAATTTCATCCGTTCGAGACGATCACGACTCAGGTATCGGACGAAGGCTTTGATGGGTTTCTGCAGTTCTGCGAGTTCACGAACGCATTCGTGTGAATCCGGGCTCGAGTGAATCCATCGTTTTTAAAGCCGTTTCCCCCGTGGAATCGGAAGGGTGAATCGACCTGCTACCCGACAACGGACGCGTTTTGGAATCCTCGGCGGAGTGGAGATGCCTGGGCGTGATGAGACTCGAAGTCACCAAATGCTTGGACGCCGTGGGACTCGGAGTCATCATCTCCACGCGGATTTCCCACTTCCTCGATCGATATTTGTTCGAGGACGGTCACAGGAGATGCATTCCTGCAGGAGCTGGACGAAAAACGCAGTCTACGATCGAGCAAATGGCAAGAAGCTAGCCGACGCACCCGGCAGCATTTGGCAGGCCACGTGAGCCACTCTCACGTTCCCTCGCAACGAAGAGAGTTTTGTTGGACGCCAAGCCCTCCCCCCCAAGTTAGTGATATCAAGAGGCGATTTCGCCCATTTCGATATCACGTGTCGATCCCCCCCCCCCCCCCCCCCCCCCCCCCCCCCCCACCTCTATCAGTCGCCATCCCATACTTGTCTACCTTAGGCCTGCCAAATTCCATTCTCGCCTATCTCTTTCACCACATAAATTTCCGGTCTCAATTCTTATATCTCAACATGATGGCCTCAGTCGTGACCTTCATCCATGATGGCCTCAGTCGTGACCCTTGGAGTCGCGCATCTCTTCCCAGATGGGGCCTACCTTGACCGAACGCGCTTTTTCTTCATCAGGCAGTCATTTGCCTGCATGAAGCCGACTTCATTCCCACGAAATAATGCAGGAGCTCCATCCGATCGAGCACTGACTCCGGTGTCGGAGAAAAGTGGACTTATTTTCTACGAGTTAAGGTCTAGACTTTCAATAAGTTTCCTCAACTGCTGGAGTTGCGATACACGAGTCCCTTAGCAAGCATAAGTATATAGACCTCCATCCTGTAAGTAGATCCAATAGACGTCCGAAACCTCATTGCTGGATATACCATGTTTGATGCAGAAAATATAAATCGGGAATGTCTAATTCTTCATTTTTTATATCCTACACACACACATGTATGCCGGTACGTGGCATACACATGTATGCATACCATGTACCGGTACCGAAGGAGCAACTCCAGGTCAACTGAGGAGCCAGGCGAAGCCAAAAAGGGACTCTTCAGAGTCCGGCTTACCTTCTGAGAGCATGGGGAAAGGATTGAAATGACGCGAATGAGCTCAGAGCGCACGATCTGCTCGAAAGGCCTGGACACCCAGCACAGTGACGAGAACACAAGCACGAGGAAGACATCCAACGCATCCAAAGCCCTCTCGTTGGCTGTGAGGCCTAAAAGGAAGTTTTAACACGCAGGATGGAGTCACGTGACCAGCAGCTGAAATCCGGAACTCATTTTTCCTCCTCTTATTTATGCAGAATGGGAAAGTGAGCATGAATTCCATTCAGAGGTTATGCGTGCGGAATATCAATTTCTAAAAAGTGGAACTGTCACGTTCCCTGATACCGATCCAGTTTCATCATGCCATCCGATAAACTTAAATCACCTAAGAACACCATGCGGAACGGTGCGCGGATGACGAGGGATGATATGTCATCCCGTATGGGGTGCCTCCAAAACCACGAAGTCGTCCCCCAGTGCGTATTAGATCGAGTTCGTACAACGAAACAGTAGCAGTCCGTAAACGGACTTGCACGAACTTTGTACCGGACAAAATGTTGCATCCAGCTGCCGAACGGCACACTTCTTGATGCATTTCGGGATTGCATTCCAAGAGCTGGCCATGCTGGATTGGATTTTTCAGTACAGCGTGCCGCCCTTACCCAGCAACGTTGCATGTCTCATGCCCACATTGGGCATGTCCAGCGTCTTCAACGTTAATTGCTTGACGATGTTGATGCTGATGGTCGAATGCATGGTCAACATCGACTCGACGTTGAAAAATGAGACAAATCTCGACATTGCGAGGACATCGAATTCTTGTTGCGTTCCGGTTGAGTACTTAACGCCCTGGCAATATTGCATCATGAAGTCGAGCGAGTCATCTGGCTCGAGCTAACAAGGTTTCTGGAACCGAAGCGAGAAGGCGACTTGATCCCTAATACAGCGAGTTACTCCGTATATGCGGCTGGCAAAAGTCCCCAGCACTTTTCGAGCGGTACTTGATACTTTTCCACAGACGACAGAAGAGAAGACATTGACACTAATTTGATACATTTGACGAAAGAGGCAACCGAGCCCAACAAAACTCCGAGTAATTCCTGAAGATGGAGTGAGGAGGGGGGGGGGGCAGATCCATACTGGGATCATGTTGATATAACATTGACGGGTCAGACAGAACCGGACAGAACTCTCAACTGCGGCACAGCATGAACTCAACGTACCAGCAATATTGAGACCAGTTTCATTTGAACATGGAGCCAACGTCGACCCAGCGTAGCAGCATCGAGTCAACATTGATGCAACACGACGGATATTGAAATTTCGATACTTTTGCATCGTTGATGAAGTTGGGAAGCGATTCCATCGTTGGGAAGGGATCCCAGTTTACAAGACGTCGATGTCGTCTTGTAAACTGGGATCGCTTCCCAACGTTTACGTTCTCTTCATTTTCTCAACTTTGGACCAACATCGAGTGTTATCTGCGTTCGGTTCTCTCTGCATGAGAGCATTCGTGATACCAGCTTCGAAGAAGTCTCTCTTCTCGGTATCGGTTGCCGGATGGTAGCAGGCACTATTAGATATCGCATCGGTCGTCATCGCAATCGGTTATACGAGCTGGTCATCGAGTCGGTCGGGGAGTGCATAGTACTCGAGCACGAAAACCATGAACCCTCAGTGAAACCAGCGGGGGTATGTAAGACGAAAGAGAGATATGGCACAATAGGTCATGTCACCTCATTTCATAAATTGCAGCAGTTATTGGATGGTCGTATAATAGGTAGCCGTAAAGCGCTGTTTTCGAGTGGCGTTGTAAATATATTGCCCTTTAAACAGCTTATACCCTTGTGCATTAAGACTCAAATGGATTGAACAGCGGCGGTGTCACGGGCTTAGCCCTTCACTATCATGTGCATCCAATGCATACAGGGTATGCAAAAAAAATTACCAACAACTTTCAACCCATAGATCTCTCCTCACAATAGAGCAGTTTTCGCGAAACTTTCCCTTTGCATATATGAGTATGTTTCTAACTGAAACATCAAATTTCATCTGAATTTATTGAGGCAAAGCAATCTTATCCAGGGCCGTCCAGAGGGGGAGGAGGGGCAATTTGTCCCGGGCCCCACGTATCAAGGGGCCTCCAAAGGGCCTCAAGGCCCCCCCCCCCCAAAGGGATCTCTGGTTTAGTTTTGCCCCCGGCCCCTGAAAACCTCTGGGCGGCATTGATCTTATCAGCAATTATTGAAAATAAGTAAGACATTGAGAATGGGCAAGAGCTCCGGCTGAGTGGAGGACACACTCGAGTGCAGATATATGGAAGCGGAGTTCGACGTGGTCTGGATGAGCAGGAGGGACGGTGCTCGAGTGTTTCCTCCACTCCACTACCAGCGAGAACTCTTGTCCATTCTCAATGTCTAACTTCTTTTCAATAATTGCTGATAATATTGCTTTGCCCCAACAAATTCGGATGAAATTTGATGCATCAGTTGGAAACATGCTCATATAGGGTAAACACCTTGGTTTTTTGGTCATGCTGATACGACTCCCGTAGGAAGTGGACACCCTGTGCGCACACTGGGAAACACTAGTAATAAGTCCTCGTACGGGAAGATGCTGATGGAATGCTTGTAAACGGCCAGAATAACTAATTATGCTGAATTTAAACCTCACTGGCCAACAACTGGAGACTGGCCAGAAACCGGGGTGCTTACCCAAAGCAAAGGGAAATTTTTGCGAAAATATCTGTTGTGAGGGGAGATCTTTGGGTTGAAAGACATTGGTCTTTTTTTTGCCATACCCTGGTACATCCCTTATGTATGAAAATGACGTCACTTCAGTAGCGCCCCCGATGACGCATGTGCTTTCGTGTAACGTGCTCCTCGTCATGTCCTAATAATCTGCTGGATTTACTGGGCTGTGGGGATCACAATCCCCCTATAAATTTGCCGGTTCAGTACTAGTGGCTTATCTCAGAGAAGTTACGTCACTGGACTCAGCGCTAGTCGAAACCAGCATGCCAGCTACAGATCTTTATGGTTCAATAGTTTAATTTTTTTCTGCGTAAGTGGATGTTATAGTGATTCCAGCATTTTCCACATTCCATTACGAAGCATTAAGTTCCTTAAACAGAAAAGTGTTTATGTGCAGGGTCAAACAACCCATAAAAAACATTACGTCGAAGACTGCACGGTTACTCAAGTGCAAAGCGCTAGAGATTCACTAGCATCCTCGTCATGAACTTTCTGAATTCCCTCCCACCGGTCAACTTATTCCATGTTGACCCCTTGTAGCATGACGTCAACGTTAATGCACCCTTAGCAAATAAAGCTCCTATACTACACAATTTCCAAGAGAAAATGATCTCCATGCTCATGAACGTGACAACTTTCAGAATAAAATATCACAGGTGGACTGCCATGCCAATCTACGTTCACAAACGTGGGTGCGATGCAACAAAGGCTTAATGACTGAGGATGTCAGATGTGATAAATGTTTCATTTTATTAGAGTATACTGATGAAGGGCCAAAGGTGGGTAAATCATTATTTTGTTTCCTGAGCATATCTAATTCCACTTGATTGGGATTCTCAGGGATACTACAACTAATGCCTTTGGTTTACTCTCAAACCTCATTTCGAATTGAGGCAATGCGATTGAAGGGATATGGGGCACTTTGCTCATGCAATTCAAGTACCCTTTAGTTTTGTCTGTGGTCATCTGGATGAAGATAGAGCACGTTCTACTACTTTTCAAAGCCGTTAACAGAAGGAAAGACAATCGGGTCTTCTTCCGATCGAGTTCATTTCGAAAAAAGGCCTTTGTAGAACCGATTCCGCACAGTGACAGGCACACAATCTTCAGACTTCATCAACGTAAACAAAATAGGGTATATACAAAGTGTGTGTGTGTGAGGGCATGACAATGTCATACACCTCCCCTTCATCCTTAGAGCAAGAGGGAAACCACAAAAACAAAAGAACAAGCAGACAAGAGAGAAGGAAGAAACAGCAGTAAAAGGGAAAATAGGAAGATACAAAACAAAAGAGCATCTAATTATTCCCAAATGACACACATATCATTCACCAACATTCTCTCCATCATCTTCGACATCTTCAACCTGAAGCCCTGCAAACTTATTTGCCATTTCGTAGTTCTGAAAAGAGAAACGCAAGAATGCATCACTCTTGAGGAGTTCATGGCATGAAAAAAAAACGAGTCTGAACAAACTGACACTATGCCTTTACAGTTAAAATATCATTACATCCCGATCATTGATTGCATCCTATTCATCATTTCAAGCTTTATTTTCTCCATACATACTAGTAGCTGAATCAGAAGAGATATTCATTTTGTGCAGACAGGACCCATGAAAAAAGTTGAGCATTAATTGACTCATAATTTTTCTTGATCAGGTAAATTTCTTCAATACCCACAACATTACATTAATTAAAGCAATTAATTACCAATTCAAACAGACTGGACAATGTTAGTAAATGCTTTTAATATGAAGAGGGATGCAGACCCAGGATGCAGACCCAGGATGACAAAAGGTCTTGTCCTAATCATCTTAGATCAGCTACACCTAATGATAGCCATGATGAAAAAAATACCTTCTTCACATGAAACATGGAAATGGCAGGTTACCCGAACTAATCAGGCTTAACCCTTTTGCTACATATTTTAATTATAAATAAAATATAATAAATAAAAATTATGATTACTATATTAATCATATAATTTTTTGTTTTGTTCTGGTGACAAGTTTCTATTGTTATTGGAATAAGATCAATTGGGAAATGATAAAAAAGACTGTTACAAATGATCAAGGGATTGAAGTGGAATGTTGCAAGTGGACAGAACAATTTGTGGATGTGGACTATAGTCGAAGTCTAACAGAATGAGGAGCAGTTCAACTATAATTGAACATTGCAGCAAAAGGGTTAACATAGTAATTGTCCATTATCATGGGAGAGGGGGGAATTCATAGTACTATTTTATCCCTGATAATTATACAATTCCACCCTTGATCATGTTTTTCATAGATATAAAAACTGAGAAAACCTAGTAGAGATGTTGCAGAAGCAAAGGGTGGTGGATAGTGCAGGGCTGACAGAGAAAACATGCGATAGTTATTCGGTTTATAGTCCTTCTGCACCTAACACCAAGGAGTGAAAGTTAAAATTAGCAATAACAGTCTTTTTCCGACAGTAATTGCACCAAAAAGTGAACTCAGGCTCTACCTTGTTCTAAGAGTTCATACACCAATGTTCACAATGATTTATCCAAAGTTGTTCAAAGCTGAAAGTGAGAACAGACATACAGTCTATACATTTCTACCATTTACAGTGACCACCATAAGTGGTGGAAATAATATCACACAGCACTCATGACTTCCTCTGTATTTCATTGCTTAAGGGGGCCCATATAAAGACTTCAAAAAGAGAACTCACTGGAGGAGGAGCAGGTTCATACTCCTTGGGAGAACGTGAGGGGCGTGAAGTGGAACCTCCTTTTTCCATTTTCCGATTCCCTCGCCCTTCTTCACCTGCTATATGTGTGTATATATTTTAAAAATAAAAAGGATGGTGGCAATTAATATGATACAGATCACATGGGTTAGCAAGCCAGTCAAAGACTGGCCACACTCACCCTTGCGTTGTGGTGGAGGTGCTTTTCGTACTTCTCCACTTGGACTCTCAGTGTCTCGTTCTCCATGGTCTCGATCCTATTTGAATCCCACAATACACCACACATTTTACTGTCCTCACAAATGTATCCATACAGAAATCACAAATCCTCCTTCCTCAAATAACAGAACCCCTTAATAGCAAAAAGCTAGCTTTCACCAACTGAAAAGCCACTTTTTACTGCTTAAAAAACCTGAAAATCCTAAAACTTCTTTCATTGCTTTAGCTCTATCCAAACAATCAATAAATGCAACCTCAGAGAGGTGATGGGGTATAACATCCATCAGCTAGGGTGACAGTCAACTAGCTTTCACTGAAGTAGAAGCATTTATCTACTGGATTGGTGGCTCCTCATACCAAAGTATCAAAACTGGCTAAGTACAAATGTATGTCATTTGATATTTATTACACCTAACTATCTGTACCAGGGTCAGTACATAGTGTTAGATGTGACATCCAGAGTACAAGATACAAAAAATGCATTTAACAATTTTACAAATGACCAATCAATATATAAAGGCTGCAATACTTAGTCTTAAGCAGTGACTTAAACTTCAATTAACCAAATGCTTGCATATTCTCTTTTGCTATAGGTTTATCTGTGTGCAATGAAAAGTTTTAGATGCACCATTTCATGGAACATAAGGTTAAAGTCACTTGTGCTCCAGATCACAATTCTGTGCCATATGGGTACCCATCAATTTAGTTTTATACTTGTTCTATATATGATAGAAAAACCCTGACATCAGTGAAAGTCACCCTATGATTACAGTTAGGAAAAGAAAGCAAGGCTATTTTGTGACTGTGTCAGACATGACATGTTCTGAAAGTTTATAAGAAAATAAAAATACCGCATATATATTTTAATGTTAAGCTTAAAATATCATCCATATGTGAAAAATTGACATTCTTCTCACCTGAGCTGATTTGAGATCATCACCCAGCATGGGAGAATGCATGCTGGCATCAACTCCAGTAGTCCTATTCTGTCTCTCCAAATTACATATCCATCATCTATCTATCTATACTATATTTCCAAGTGTTTGTGTGTCTGTCTTTTATGCATGGCCATGCCTCAGATCCCAGTCCAACCAAACTTTGCATGGCTTCCTCATTTGGTCTGGGGATGGTCATAGGCAAGGTGGTGTTTCAAAATTTGGACCCCCCTGCAGTACTTTATTTAATGCAGATTTGGTAGATTCACTACTAGACCCCCAAGGAGTCAAAATTTGGGGGGCTCATTAAAAAAATTTAAGTTGTAACATGCAGCTTGCTACTGGAATTTTCCAATTGGTTGTGCAGTAAAAGCTACATATTTATTTCTAGCCAGGTTTGCCAAAGAGGCATTGAAACAATATTAAACCCTCAAATATGGGATGTATTCAATATTCACCTGTGCAACCCAGGTACCTCTGCTAGTAAATAATAAAAAATAATAAAAAAAATAGTAGAGAAGCAGTTCTCCCTGTGGAAGTTTCACAGAAAAAACTACTTCAATAGGCTTTTCTTGTCTATAGGATAGGTTCTATAGAGAAAAAGTTGGGCAAGCCCAGTCCAGTAGTGGGCCTCCTTTCATTTTAGGAAACCCTCATTTTGGCACCTAATTGAACAAAATAATACCTCTTTCCAGTCTTCGAACATCAAAAACCTCATTTCTCATTTAAATTAGGTAAACATAGACAAACGGTGCCCATGAAACAATGATGGGAGGATGGAGGGCTGTTTGTAGTTGGATCCATCCGCCATGAAGCTACTACGAATACTGACAGCTCTGGTTGCTGACATGGTGCCTTGCACAAAGCCTGGGTTGTATGCGCATGTGCATTGTGATCTACATCCTGAAAGGCTCATAGGTACTCATGGCTTCCCCTCTGTTGGCAAATTTCAAATCCAAAATTTGCAATAAACATTCCAATTTTGGTGCAAGTTCATCACAAAACGAACTCAGCCTGAATATTGTTCATATCTACTCACTTACCAATTTTCACAGTGCTCAGATCAATATTTTTTTAGTTAACATCGGACAAACAAAAGTGCGACACACTGACACTCTGAGGGACAGGATATCCGTCTGTGTCTGTATAAGTGGTCTCTTTCCTCTCAGGAAAGGAGGCCTAATAAAAAGATGGATCATTTGCACATTAGTGTACAGGGGGATGTGTCCTTGAATATATCAAATGCAAAAGATACAAAACCTGGTTGGGCTGTGTAAATGAGAAAGATCAAGGGTGAGTCCTTTGCTACTTCCCAAAGGGGATAAATCTGTGGACACATTCAACAGTTTCACAATGCCAATCCATTCCCTAGCTGGGAAATAAGGCTATGCTACCTTTAGATTTTTCATGGAAGAACATGTCATGTTATGTGAAAGCTGTGGTATAGGAACTTACATGGTCATGAGATGGCTTTGAAGAGTCTGTCTTCCTCTGGACTTGGGAGGGGAGGGGAGGGGATTGTGACCTGGCTTTTGGGCTTCTTCCTGCTTCACTTCCTGGCCCAGCTCTGAAACAATATCAATAAAATAAAAGCACTTCATGTGACACTCTGCATATATAAAAAAGACCTACACATCATAAATCTGAGCTGCAATAAATTCATTACAGTGGTATGCTCATTTCTTGGGCATTTCACTCCTCACAAAGGAATGAGGAAGGAGAAAACGTTAAGTATAAAGAGTGAACTCTGGTTATTTGGACTATAGGTGACCTTTTCAGTGTCTCACATTTTACTGCTCTCATTCTATAGAGGGCTCCACACAGTCTATAGGGTGTCCAAGAAAATGAGCAAAATTATTACAGTCGATGCTTGATATAACAAACTTGAAGGGATGGGCTAAGAAAAATTTGTCATAGGGAATTTCCCTCATTTCACTGGGAAAAAAAAGAAGATATCTGTTAAACCAGGGGTCGGGAACCTTTTTGGCCATGTGAGTCATATTAATATTGATCCAAGTGCTCCTGAGCCAAAGATTAAAAAAAAAAAACACAGAATTTTTCCTAAAGTTGGCAACTAACATATGCATTCTTTGATACATGAGAAAAATAAGGAAAAGCCATGATTTTTAGCCATGACTCATGAGCCAAATGCCAAACAAGGGTCCCCCCTCATCTATCAGGAAATGAGAAAGAAGAGGAACTCACGGGTGATCCGAATTGACGTTCTCCCGAAGGAGCCTCTGCTCAATTTCCCTTTCCCGTGCAGCAGTGTCCACTGGCTTGGCTCCACCAAATATAGTTGTGGAAGCTGTTGCAGGGGTGCCTACTTCCTCAATTGGGGCAGTACGTGGTTGCAGCTTCAACCGTGGCCGCTCACGATTCCCCTCTACATCATGCAATCAATCCAATCCACAAAAGCATGATAGAATTGTTTCAATATGAAGCCTCCATGTGCCAAACAACAAAGCAGAGCAAGAAACAGAAAGAGGATGCAGGATCAACCAATCTTCACAAAAATTCCTGTATCAAATAACAGAGATCCACTAATCCAAGTATGAGTGATACTGATTTAATTCTTCAGTATCAGTCAATACCAATAGCAACATACTAATATAATATCTCCATACATTTATTTGTTTAAAAATAAAAAACGTTGACACAAGACCTATCAAGTCTGGGCCAGGTATTAATCCAAGCTCATATTTTGGAATGGCTAGAAAGAAGCTTAACACATTGACTGTCACCATTTTTTTTATTCACACAAATTAAAAATTATTAATATCCAATCTTACATATATTTTACACACAGTCACTGAAATTCAAAAAAATTTGAAAGCAATTAGTAATATCCAGTACTCCATCATGCAATGTTTGAAATCAGAGATATCTCGTACTAGGCATCTGACATATGGAAATATAGTACAAGATATCTTGTACTTGGTGGTCAACGTGTTAATGGAAGAATGTCACCCTGACAGTATATTCCAAGACAAGTAATCCAGGTGAGAAGTCCCTGAAACTATATCCAACAGACAGAAATATTCCCATTTAAACAGCTCAATGACTTATAAGAACATTCTTTTCCTTCCAGGGCACTTCCAAGTTTCACTCAGACATTCCTTGCCTACATTATGAAGCTGAGGTCAACATAGCCATTGATCCAGTTATGTAACATTTTTGTAATGTTACATCCAGTTATGTGGACAAAATTGTACAGCTAAAGCCTCCTCCATTTGAGGGACATAAAGTTATTACAGAGGGTTAAGTTAAGAACTAATCTATAATTAAAATTATTAATGGAACTCTAAAATGTCAAATGACCAGAGCAAGTGAGGCATCATGGAACTAAGAATGACAATGGAAGTGAAATCATACAACTTGCTACATAAAAGGTCCAAGAGGGTCTCAGGAAATCATAGGTCAAAGGCCAAATAAATACTAGGATCACTGGAACTGCCTTATTTTCATAAGATTATCAATGCAGTTTCATATTTATAAATGCTGAGCACTGTCCAGCTCTTTCATATCAGAATAAAAGTTACATATTTTGACTCCCTCAGGCAAGAGCTCAACAATGACACCCATTTCAGCTAATTCCATTTTGAGGCCAAAACCCCAATTTTTTGGCAATTTCCTTTTGTTTTTTTTCCCTTGAGATGGAACTATTCCATTTCACAAACAGCATTAAGCAAACAAAGAGGTACAGGCAAACTGCTGGTAGAGTGAAGGACTGGGTGGCATAAGAGAAGTAAAAAACCCAAGAATATAAAGGGGCATTTTGGAGACGGAATATTCTGTCTGAAAGAATATTGGCAGAATATGCTCATGACAAAGATACCATGCAATATCACCAAGATAAGCATAATTTGACCACTGGTTCTGATTACAGCCTCTTCAGGATTGCTAAAATTGAAAGCAAGTGAGGCTAGTGACTTGCCTTAGTGGAACTAAAAATGTAAACTATACCAGTAGATAAGCCATTTGTCAAATAAGTCATTGATCCTCATGATATTGACTAAGGTCTGATACCTGGGGCCAGTTTCACTGCTTTCCCTTGAAGAACAGACTTGTGCACATCTGACTTCTCAAAAAGCCTGACTTGAGAAAGTCTAGCTTCAGCCTCAATTGCATTGACTCTTAGTTAGGGTCAGTGCAACCAGCTAAAATTAATCCAAAAGACCCCAAAGTCAGACTTTGCAGAAGCAGTGCAACTTCAATATGGGTGCATCCCTACTAAACAGTATCATGTTCAAGAAATGTAATCAGGAATGCAATTTTGTTTATAATGTATCAGTTAATAGGGGTATTTTAAAGGTCATACGGCATGAATATTCAATAAATGCTACAGTGGGAACATCTTAACCAATGCTCAAGAAATGTTGGATAAGCTAAACTTCTGTACCACATACAAATAATAAGTGGACTTATTATTTGTATTGAATTGGATAAAAGGAAGTGGATGAAAATGAAACAAAGATGATGAAGCAAAACCAACCAGGCTCAGAGCCTCTTGATGAGGATCGACTTTCTTCATCTTTGTCTCTATCCCTCTCTGAGTCTTCTCTTCGTGTTCCCCGACCTCTGTCAGGCCCTTTTCAAGAAATAAACATCATGACACTAATTTCCATGCTCTGACCAAAGAGACATCTTGCTATCAATAAGGTTAAGCACCATAAAAGCAATACAGTTTCAATACAATGTCACAAGAAGGAACTATGTTATAGGGAATTTAGGTGGGTAGAAACACAGGTGGTTATAATGGTAATACAGAATGATTCCATGCTTCCAGCACTTTGCCTATGAACACAGGGTTAAATAAAAGGTGTAGCCAACAAACACTATGATTCCTATTTTTAGCAAAAAATAATACATAAGAAAATAAGTTGCCATGATGCAAACTAAGGATAAAACAGTCACATGAGGGAATACCAATCCAACATGATCCTGTGTTACGTCTGCGAAACACAGTATATATAGAACAAAAGTAGAAATGACTTGGAGGTGACTCATGCAAATATGGCAATAGGAGAGCCACTAATGAGCCTCCTTACTCAACCCTACCTCGCACGTGATTTGTGAGTCGAGACCCATAATTGGGAGTCGAACGGCGATTGTACGATGATCGAGGACTCTCATACGAGTATCCTAGAAATGGATGGATCTCTATGGAATCAAAAGTTTCAACTGCAGACAAATAATGGGAAAAGGTAAATGGGAAAACTGAAAAACCTTCTGTCTTAATGGTTGGCCAGGAGAAGAAAGAGAGAAGGCTGACTGAAAGCATACTTGTTACTTCTGCCTTCTCTGTCTCCCTATCCTCCTGGTTAATTTCCCTGCTAAGCAAAGGTAGTCTGCCCTGCCTCCTCATAGGCCCAATCTGACCATATGTTCCTAACCCATTCCTTGGTACAGGTTGGCATAAAATTCTACCTTATCATGCCATGCCATATTCAGTAAACACAATCCTGCCACAATAACATGTTATCTAAAAGCAGAATGGAAACTAGTTGCTCAATTTCAAGAAACTGCCAAAGTGGGAGATTCACATTGCAGTGGTTGGCCATCAACTCTGACCATCCAAATCTTGTTGATTGATCTATAATTAAATCATATATCCTCTTCAAACCTTTTATTGTGCATGACATCATTGACTTTACTTTTCCTCTCCAATTTTTTTGACACTGAACTTGTCCAGATCTGAGGTATCATATATACAACCTGTGTCTCAAGAGTTCCAGGACTGACTGCATAGGGCATAAGGATCCAGATTGTCATGATGATCTTGCAAAGATTGAGCTATTAAGCAGATGCATCCAGAGGTTGAAAGTTACTAGAATACATGGCATCAAGAGGAAGTACACAAATTTTGTGAGTGAAATCACCTGAAATACCAGTCTTCCTTGTCATCCAACACAGCAAAGCATGTGTGACATAAAGTTGTGAAGTCAGTACAACCGTTCTACTGAAAAGGCAGGTATAGCAATTTTGGGGTATAAAGGTGCTGTCAGGATAGAAGTACTCTTACTTCACTTTTGTCACTGCAAGACCAAACTCCATCCATAATTATGTCAGAATATAGGCTTTTCTCTGGGTCACAACCTCACCTTTACATGAATCATGCTTTGCTCATCTTTCCTGCATCTTTCTCAATCTCTTGTATTTAAATTGTCTTAAGCAAACACAGGGACTGTTGTGGAAACTTCATGTACTTAAACCAAGCTTTCCTTTGCAAGAATTTAGCTTGCATGTGGTGTAACCAGGTACCTGTTAGGTCAGTTCAGAGTATACTGATCAAGATGTACCAATTGATGGGCTAGAGAACATGTGACTAATTATAAGAGGGGAGAGGAAGGGCATGTGTATGACAGAGGCAAAATCAAATGTCACATGTCTCTCCTCTCTCTTCATTTTCCATCAGACCCCTCCCTTTTATTAATCTAAATACAAGTCCATTTAAATGATATAACCAGCTAATCCACTAGTCTTCCTTATCAGCAAGATAGAGATGGAGCAAAATCCATCATTGCTAATGAAACTAAAAACAAGGTATTGGTGTACATATCACAAGGCAACACTTTTGCTGGATGAGTGCAATGAATGTCAAGCAAGCTCAATTTGTGCATGGTTTTACTCTAGGTGCATTGCCAATCCAAGTAAACAGAAAAGGGTCATGGTGATCCTTCACAATGAAAGTTGATGCAACCAACCCAGAGACAGCAATAGAGTTTGGAGTGATTCATAGTAGAGTTAGCATGATAGGCAAGGCACCTGAAACCCCCATGCAACACCCTTTTCCAACAGGCTTTCAAACCTCAATCAATCACGATGCACCACGTTTTGTCATCAAGAAAGGGCAGCTGAATTGCAACAACCAATATGTGTATCAGTTGAGCTCTCTCACCTCGATCACTGAATCCCCTATCCCGTTCCCTGGGAAAGCCACGGTCATCTTCTTGGCCACGGCTTCCAAACCCTCCGCCTCGACTCTCAAACCCCCCACCTCGACTCTCAAACCCTCCACCTCGGCTCTCGAAACCTCCACCTCGGCTCTCAAAACCTCCACCTCGACTCTCAAACCCTCTGTCTGGGCGTCGATCACGGTCCCTGTCCCCAAAGCCTCGATCACGGTCCCGGTCTCTATCTCCAAAGCCTCGATCACGGTCCCTGTCCCTGTCCCCAAAACCTCGATCACGATCCCTGTCCCCAAAGCCACGGTCACGAACTCCATCAGAGCCACGGTCCCGGTCAAAACCGCGGTCTCTATCAAAGCCTCTGTCTCGATCAAAGCCACGGTCCCGATCCCGGTCAAACCCTCGATCTCGTCTGTCGAAGGCACGATCACCACCATACCGTCCATCCCTTTCAAATCCTCGGTCTCTTCCATAACCACGTTCTCTATCAAAACCTGAGGATTCAGGACCTGCAAGAAGCATAAATGCAGAGATCCATTTTAAACCTTTCAGTCCCAAATTTAAATATATAAATGCAAAACCAAATTCCAAAAGAGGTCACACAGTGACTCAGAAGTCCAACCAGGTCTCAAAGATGTGCATTCCTATATAGCTCTGCAAAACATAAAAAAGAAAATGTGGGACTTCTGAGTTCTGCAGGAATGAAAGAGGAAATCCCACAAAACCTTTTTCCCTCTATCCATATGAATATGCACTTCTGCAGACTACACGATTTTCACTAGACCAGCCAGACTACATTTTTACACTGCTCCAAGAGCATCATATAAGCAGGTCTACATGGATGAGAAAGACACTGACTGCATCAGCCTTTCAAGAGATTAATCTTGACTGATATGTTTGGTTTCTTACTTTATTCCTTTTTCCATGGCAAACTTCCATTGAAACATTTTTTTGCAGGGATGCTAATTGGGTAAAAATTAAATTATATGCATCTTAATTAGGAAATCAACATATTGATTGAATTACAATTTTAGGACAACACTTTTTTTCAATATTCAAATAGCAGTACTTTAGAAAGCACTTGACCTAGGAAGCTAAAAACTTGCAGGGATTAGTTTCTCAAATTGACCCAACAAATCCACAAATGTAATAAAATCAAAGGGGGCCAGTTAAATGGCTGTGTTGATTTCAAACTGAATGACCATTATGTATGTTACTTACTGATGTCCACATGACTGCCAGAGACTTCGTTTACTCTCATCATGGTTCTGCTTTTAACCTCCCTTGTAGACATAATTCCTTGAAATTTACACAATGGGAAGACACAAATGACAGACTAAAGAGATAAGAAAAAAAAACAGTCAGCCATTGACTAAATAAAAAATTTTCAAGGGGACAAACCAGAGACCAAGCTTTAAAAAAATAAAAAAATAAAAAAACCTTCTATACTTGCAACCAAGGCAGAGTTACACATCTCTGCTTACAAGGTAAGTCAGGAAGCAAGAGAAAGAGACACACCATTGCGATATGATTGTGTGGGAGGAGGAGGACCTCTCTCTTCATCTCGAGCTGACCTCCAATCTCCGAGGGTGCGGTCATCACCTCTGTCCCTGTCTCTGTCCCTATCTCTGTCACCTCTTCTGCCACCCATCCCCCCTCCACTTCTGTCATCAAATCCTGCTAAGTCTATCCTCACCTTCCTGTTTTTCAATGCCTAGAGGGAATAATGCAAGATCAAATACCATGTCTGTAACATCATGCAAAAGCAATAAAAGGACCTAACATTACCAATTCATTCATGGCCAGTGCTTCCAAGAGACTCTGCTGATCTTCAAAGTCTATGAATCCATAGCCCTTGAGTCTCCCAGAGTCCCCATTCTCTCGAGGCAGCCTTATGTCTGCAACCTAAGAGCAAAAACATCAAGAGAGAGCTTTAGGTAAGTAATATTTAAGGCACACATAAAAGCATTCACATGAAAAACATTTATACCAAAAACTGGTATGGCTTGATTATAATGAAGAGACAACAAACACTAAAGAAGAGAAAATGGGAAAGAATAATACTGCTTTAGATTTGGGGCCAGCCAATGAACCACTGGCTTGCCCTGGCCTGCCCAGTTTGGTTAATTATCTAGGGGACAACCTGTAGGCCAGAGTTCTAACAATGGCTACATCAGAATAAAAGATTGAAGCAGAAAGAAGCAGAGGGACAAGTAGTTATGCATATTTGGAATGGAGATATGCATTAGTAATTATTAGCAAAGCAAGGTGGTGTGTATAGATGCTAGATTGAAAATCCACATAGAAAAAATTCCCCATTTCCTTTTCATCGTATTGCCTTGTTTCTTCTCAACACGTCAGACCTACCACACACAGAGCATCAAGTCCAATTCCCATATAAGAAGCACCTATAAATGTGCCAAGTACAGTGTCTCTGTCTTCTTTTCTGAAGTACTCTGGATAGTAAGTTTAGGTTGGAGGGGCAGTTACAGTGTTTTATATTCAAAGCATGACTTCATGCTTTTCAATAGTTGCTCCCTATGATACAACTGCATGGAGACTCAGGTGACACCAGATCAGGTGTTACTTTCAGCCAGAAAATATAAAGCAACAAAATACATACATAAAAATAGCAATAGCTTGGCCATAAATTACTGCCTATTAAGCAAAACAGTAATTAAGCTCAGAAAGGAATCTGATAGCAATACTTTATTCAATTCTCCATAAAGAAGAATGAGATATTAACCCTCGAAACGCCAAGATCAGGTCAAAATGACCCGATGGCCAGTCCTCCAAGGTTCTGTTGGATCGTTTCTTTTTTTGGTATCTACTTGGGAAATAAATACATAAATATCTTAAAAAGGTATGTGTAGCTTCTATTCTGAACAAAAACCTCATTCATTACGAGAAATATATATGGGTCAAAAATGATCCAATCTTGGCGTTTCGCAGGATGCAAATGATCTTGGCGTTCCAAGGGTTAATACAGAGTTCCAATAAGATTAGGGAGCATGAAACAAACCTTAAGTTCTTTGAAGAACTTTTGAATGTCCTCCAAATCTAGGTCATATGAAAGATTGGAGACACGGACGGTGAAGGGTGGCTCTGAGGGTATTCTGTCTGGGTCAACATCAGGCCCCCGAGATGCCTTTGGAGCAGTAGGTAATACCACTCTCTCTGTATTAAGAACATCATCTGGAACACAACCATACACAATGTTGAACTTCCATCAGTCAAGTGTCCCTTGGGTGAAAAGTGCTTGTCCCACTTTCTCCTTTCTTTATTGACATTTTTCAGGCAAAGCATCCAATACATCTATCATAAGGAGGAGTCAATAACTTTGGTGAATTTAAATTTTTCATGGACAATATGTACCCATTGCCACATACCCTCATTACTGTGTGTCTGAACATGTAGTACTCACAGTTTCAAAAATATAATATAGGCAACATTGTCACTGACAGTTTTTAAAATGGTGGCCCCAAATTCAGATTGCACTGCTGTTGAACATCACAGTGTCATTCAATTTTTGCTGTCAGAAAGAGCTAAACCAAGCAAAATTTATCGTAGAATGTGTGTACAATATGGGGACAGTTGTCTTTCATATAAAAATGTGTACAAGTAGTGTGAACTATTCAGAAACGGTCACCAATTAAAGATGCACTTCAGGGCACAATTTCAGGGATGATACAGATGTTCAAAATGCGATGCATAATTGGCTATGCTCTTTACCAAAAACTTTTTTCTCTGATGGAATCAGAAAGCTTGTCAGTTGCTGGAATAAATGTGTTGAGGTAGGAGGCAATTACATATAAAAGTAGTGCATGTTCATGTTTCCGGAATAAACTGCTTTGAAGCTATACTGAAATTCACTTTATTTATTGACTCCCCCTCATATAATTGTATGCTCCTGACAATACAGGTTGCAATAAAAAATAAACCCTAAGGAATGCATGGTTTTCACAGGATTTTCTTGGACATATAAGGGTTATAAGTAGGGCATTGCAGTATGTGCTGAATTCCACAGTAGGTATACCATGGCTCAATGCTGCAGTATACCAGTGATACTGTCAAGAAGCGGGGGGGGGGGGGGGACTGCCTCAGTTACGATCTCCCAGAAAAAGCCCACAAAGAGGGGGGAATCTTTCTATTGTGATGGCGTCAAGCTAGTTGCACATCCGCATTTATGTCATTCGATCGAATGACTAGGGGATTTGCCTGTTTCAACCCAAATGAATGGATTCTGTAGGCATGCCCAAGCTTACCTGAGCCTGGCCTTACTCCCAACATCCTCGGAAGACATGGCAATGATATCAAGTGCTCAGGCACACAGAGCAGAGGGCACAGTCAGTGTGCAAGTCGAACCCACAAATTATGGATCTTAGTCTTGGGGTCAGGATTAAATACACTTGGTATGTGGCAGTATGAAAGACAGTATCCACACCATAGTGATAGTATGATCATGGGCAGTATTCCATGGTTTTTGTACTGTGAAGGTATTACCGAAAAATGTAGAAGGGGTTGGTATAATTATCACAAGAACCGAATACTGCAGTATAATGAGAATACCAGTATACTGCAATGCCCTAGTTATAAGTTTCAAGCCTGATAAGGAGAGATTTTCAGGAAGTACCATGGCATAATTCATATATTCACAGGTCAAAATAGAAACAATAAGTTAATCTTACATGAAAGTTAAGTGTAAATGTGGTCACTTTTCAATACTCCTTCACCTGACCTGTATTCATTAATTGAGCTAAGTGACTGACAGTGAAAATTAAAAAATTATAAGATATGCTGAAATAAATGCAATGAAACATTTTTTGCACCTTACATGCTCAGCAAGTGCAAAATATTTTGCGAAATAACTTATCCAACAATCTAATTTCTATTTCATAGCAAAAACTTAAAATTTGTTCAATTTCACCCTCATCAAGCCCATAGATCAATATAAGATTAACTTGTGCAGTGATTCTATCATACTTCCTGAAACACTATCTCTCCAATTTCAGATCTGAAACTTTCCATCTTTCCTCATATAGAATGAAAACTTCTTTTATTATCAGGCAGTATATTTATGCAATGTACAGCAAGCCCCAGTTCAATTAATTTCAAAAAGTAACATATGACTATGCCTGGGATCTTACTGAATTGGACATAAAAATAAGAATTATACATAAAACCACACCCTTTAAATTTTACATGAAAAGGAATAAATCAGACTTAGCAACCTGTATTTCAAGATTGATGACACCAATAAATTCAAGGCTTTGAAAGAGGCTCTGGAGTCTGCTGATGAGCTCCATTACTGCCATTACCCACAGTCTATAGAATGACATTCTATCACTATGAGAGACTGATGTACAATAAAATGTCATACTTTAAGCCTTTCAAAATAGTAACCCTGCATACAAAGAAGTAAAGTTTGCTAACCATCATCAACTTCATCAGCCCAGCTGTAGGATTTCTTTGGAACATGAACAACTGCTCTTCCATCCCCAGGATCCTCATTGTTATCAGCAAGGAACTCTGTTAGTGCAACTGTCTTCCCTTTCACCTTCTTGGCCTTCTTCCCTGTAATAAAAAACAACACCCAGAACATCACCACAAAGATTCTCATCATGAAACTCCTCTGTTCCTCCTCAACATAGCTAGCTCATCAATCTCTCAGGTCTTGATTCCCAGCAGTGGGCATATTGCTGACTAAATATTGCACAACTAATCATGAGATTTTGATACATTTTAAATATTTTTGCTAGACATTATTGCTAGTGTAGGCTTAATAAAGAGGTGTGCTTAACAGTACTTGATTACCACATGCTCAAGAGGAGAGTCAGAACGTTCTGAAATTAAAAATGAAAAAAAGGCTTTATTCCACAAGCATGGGGCTGCTCAACTCATTTCTGAAAAATTTGCAAGAGAATCAATAGCCAAACACATTGAACCAGTGATCAAAAGGGAAATGTTGCATGAATCCTATGTTGGCAATCACTGATGAATAATGAGACACTCCCAGCAAGTTGAATATTTACTCCAAACTCCATCACCTCTCCTTAATCCAAGGAATTGGCATGTACCACAGTTTCAAAGTGATGTTTTTGGTGATTTTATATTAACCTTTATCATATAGATTTAAATCTCCCACTTAAGTGCTGGCAGCTGGATTTTTTTCTCTGAAGCTCCTAAACATTCGCTAGCTGAGTAGTGCAACTGCCCTAAAAATAAACAGTTGATAGTGAAGTCATTATTGATGGAGTATCAGAACATATTCCCAAAAAGTTATAGTATAGCATTTGTATCTATAGGTCAGTGGTGCACAGCCTTCTCCGCCTAGAGGGCCATATTGAGATTTCAGTTCGTGTTGGAGGGGTTCAAGGGCCGCAGGCCCTCAAACATGAGCTGAAATAGGCTGCATATAAATATGGATCTTTAAAGATTGGAGGCATCCAAGGGGCCACATAAAGTATCCACAGGCTGCATGTGGCCATAGCCCGCAGGTTGTGCATCACTGCTATAGGTCATGGAAAAAGGCATTCTGTGGCACCAAAATGGCTTTTTGGCCAAAAAAAGGTTAATATGATAGAAGCTCCAATACACAATATGCCCATATTTTCTCCATGTACTTAGCAGCAAAAAATATAAATATTGGAATATAGCTGTAAGTGCTGGGTTATAATTAAGCCCAACCATGTGGAAACACCACATACAGAAATGTATATGTGTCATGATATCCAGCCAGAACACGGTGTCTGTGGCACTGCCCCAGTTGGAGGTGAACATCCATCTTGGAAGAGGGCATTCAGCTGTTCTGGTGGAACAAAATTGGGAATTCCGCAACGACTTTGGACCACAACTGTATGATACCTTTTTGGAAACGTCAGAAGACGTTGAACCCAATGAAGTCAAACATGAGATGTCTCATACTGACAAATCGAGAACTCATGTTTACCGCGGTTCACCTTCCTCATCGGCTCCAGACTTTATCAGCACCCCATCTTTCGATTCCGAAAAGAACGACGACGATTCCCGTAACGTAGAAGATAATGACCAATGATAATGATCGTCACTATTTCTATCTCCAATTTTGGTACTTCAGTTCAAGCAGTCTTCTTGCGTTCCCCGCAAACATTAAAGCTATGATTTCAAAGGAAGTTCCGATGTAGAATTAGCGTCTCGTGATCTCAGCTCTCCAAAGGACAAAGACGGATGTCAAGGGCTCGCTAAAAATCATCAGGGAACATTGATTACGTTAGTTTGCGTCCATAGGCTGTATTTTAAATTAATTTTCAAGCTCTTCATGCAATACATTAGGACTACGTTCTTCCTCTAGTCCAGTGGATCCCAATCTTTTTGTATTTACGGCACACATAAGGACACTTGAACTTTCCACGGCACACCCAGCCATTTAATTACTTTCAATGGGAAACTTGTGCTTGCTTCGCTGAACATAGCAGTTTGATACGAGGCGTCATAGTGCAACACTAAGCTCGTTTTTCACTGAGAGACGGCTTTCCCTCTTGCTTTTAAGTTTTTTTTAGCCTTAGGTTTTTAGTTTTTTTTTGTTCACTCTCAAATCTCACGGCACACCTAAGCCTTTCTGGCGGCACACCGTTTGGGAAACACTGCTCTAGTCTATCCAATCCCATTCTCCTCACGAGAATCATTCTCTTAACAGACGGCAGTAGAAATCTGATTTTCCCCTACAATCAGTAATACTTACAGAGATAAAAATAAAATAAAAACGGCGAGACAAGCTTAACCCATTCCCTGCCCAACTGTGATAACCCGTCCATCTAATCTCAACACCATTGCTTGACCCAGGCATAATAATCCGTTTTGGGACATGCTTCTGATTAAGCATTTCCAGCCATCGTCCGATCTACTAACGAAGAACGTGTCTGACGGGTCTTTCGATATGAACGTTAGCAATGAAGTCTGCAGAATATATTTTCTGAAAATTTTAGGAAAATGGCCTGCTAGGCTAGGGTAGCCTTCTAGGCCAATGCGCACCAGGGAATGGATAAAGCTAAAGAATATATTTATATTTTTACTTTCACATGTATTGTAGGCTTTTCCGGCGGCACGCATTGTTCCGGGAATACGACTGTCAGGCAAAACAAAGCGACCTAAGAGATCACGGGTAAAAACCAAATATTTAGCCTATAATAAACATTTAGTCTACTCCCCAGCAAGAAGTGCAAATTTTCGTCATTCGTCGTTCATCTTTGAATAAATATGCATGAGAATCCTGGCCCTGAAGTTGGCTTCTATCACTTCCAACAGACTTTCTCTTTAGTCAGCTTCCGTATAAATTCACCATGTAGAATGATTACAATATCATATGACGCCCTGCAAACGGTTGGAAATGAAGTGCAGCGGAATTTGCTGACGCAATCATTGCTACCGAGGGTCATCTCCCAACATCTTCGATCCCAAGATACGTATTACAACAGAACGCATCTTGCTAACCTTCGGGGATAGAAGTGGAATATGAAAAAAAGAATATATAGATATTAGCGTCCATGACGATTTGAAACGACCCCCCCCCCCCCCCCGGCATTTAAGACTCTCGCAAAGGGTTGGGACAAGGCGAAAGAGATACGAGACAGAATCGACTTTCATATTGACCAGATTTGCGGAATTTCCAGTTGTGCCCTATGTAGTGAATGACGTAACAGTACCCTTGACCTAGAGGGTCTTCTGGTCCTTGTGGGGGATGGCGTGACACCAGGACAATCAAACTCCGTCTTATCTTTCTTCATAATATTTGCAAAACTTTCTTACTCAAGGATTCTCATATAAAGCCATAGTTGTAAACTTTTATTTTGATATACAACTCGGAAGCTGGAAGTCATGAAAGCATATCCTTCCAAATAACGAAGCCTATTTGTGATGAGCTCATTCAATACATCTGTGTAGTAATAAATTCTGATTTTAGTATACCGTGCAATCCAAAAGGAGGACCAAGAACACAGAATGATAGGAACGGAGGGAAGGGGGACTGCTAGCCAAAGGATCCAGGTAAGGGTTCCTTGTCCTTCCCTTTCTTATTTTTTTATTTCTCACAATTTCCCCGCGGGCCACACGGAAACATTGCGTGGGCACACTTTCGCCGCCCCTGCTTTAGGGGGTTCGACTTAAGTTGCAACAAAAGTAGAGAAAAATATTTCCTAACCCACGATCGTAATCTCTACCCATACACTGCTGTCAGAAAATGTCATTCGAATATCCGCCGTATATCTTTAACGCACCACGATACAGTCGTTCCCTTCCAACTGAAACCTTCCAGACCTCAAAAGAAACCTCATTGAGATACCTCCTCTACTTCATGACAACATATTCTGATCTGCAACTAGATACCTTCAACACGAAGTATCTGTACATATAAATCCCTGATTTACAATACTCTGCTGCCTCACGTTTGCAGAGTATTGTAAGCAGAACCTGTATTTCCCAAAAAGCCTTGACCATCGTCATTCCATGTCAAATGATCAGTGTTAATTATGCTAATCAGGCACAGTATTAAGCAACATCAGTAAACCAGTGGCTAACCAAATTGAGAAGTTACCTTTAAATCCCTTACTATCTTCTTATGCCTGATGAAAGGATCTCCACAACTTCTCGTAGCCTTGATAACGCTGTACTTGTAGAGGTTTGGTGGAGCATATAAAAGTGATAGGACTTGGTTTTTCTCTTAGAGTTAACATGTTGCTACCTAAAATGCAGCTTAATTCCCTCACTCTCAAGTTCCATGAAAGAATTTTGCAGTTGAATTTCACGAATTTATGCGATTTTTGCATATTCAAACTTATTGAAGATAGTTCTTTCTTATAAAGAAGTGACTAAACAGGACTCAGAGCTCATGCAGTTTGGTTGTTGATCCCTTCTACTTCAAATAAATCCTCAAACTTGCTTTCTTCCTTCAATTAGAAAAACTGACACTTGAAATTTATATATTGTTTTTAAAACACATGAGTTTAATTAAAGCTTAGTACTACAAGAAACCTTTCAAATAAGATATTGATTGATGTAATCAGCTAGAATGGTCAGGCTGCTTTTATTTAACCACTAACATCTAGTGTGAGGACTTTGCTCTGCAATAACTTCTGTGATCACTGCTCTACCTTCTCCTCTCCTTACCCCAATCACACTAAGCAGGTGGATCACACTGTTACTATAGATGCATGAATGGGGACAGTGTGTGCATACATGCACACGTACGATGTTGTGTAGGTTTGTATATGGCTGTGCGTTCAGCTAAATAATGTATGCAAAACCATGCTTGAAATTAACAATGCTTGAAACCACTTCCTAAATTGGAGAACTGAACAAAACTGGAATGATTCCATTTGAAAATTATCAAGGCATTCAAGGGAGTTAGTTCAAGACAAACTTCAGGTATTTACCATTTGTAAATTCTATTCCAATCACACCAATACACAATTTCAATTCCATTATGAAATAAATAATTCAGCATCAGCCCTGCTTCTTGGTACAATTAATTAAGTTACTAAAGGAAAACTGGATGTTGTCTGTCAGAGCTTTCTTTTCAGATAGTCTTTACAAAAAGAAGTTTCATATGGTCCAACTGCTCCAATTCTAATTCAAACGTATGCATAAACATAGATTTTACTTCCATTCCATCAAATTATGCAATCACTCTAAAGCAGACTCTGGGGGAATGCTTGTGCAAGAAAATTGGCAGATACTTATGCTCTTCTTCATCAAATGGCTAAAGAAGATAATAAGCAACAGGCACTGTCTGGGTGAATAATTTAAGCACCCAGATGACAGCTTTTGTCCATGATGCCATCCTTAACCTTTTGGGGTCCACGCCTGAGTTATCTTGTATTGGCCTTGTGATGAAGGATTTTAAAAAATTGAATGACAGTGTTCACATATTCAAAATACTCAGACCCCAAAGGTTTAGTTTTGGGGAGGGGCATTCTTCACATCAGTTCTCTACCCTCTCTCACACCCCTTTGAAGGTTGCTGTACACAACCTAACTGTACTTTTGAGGCACCAGAAGAATGTGAAGGGGGCATCTAGAAGGTGGCATCAACTTATTTTTGCTATTATTTTTCTGAAAAACAGAATGAAGTCCATAAATGAGAGGGCATTTTGAGCAGTTTAGGAAGATTATCTAAAATACTCCTAGATAATAATAAAAAAGTACCTGAAATTGAATTTTAACATATAACCTGGTCATTTTTGCATTTTTCTAAACATCTACATTTGAAATGAACTTCCATTCATTCATAAATGCTGCACTTGGAAAGAGAGGTTATCATGCATGAATTATTACACAGGGTGAATTCTAAGTCTGAAAACATAGGTTTTCCACTTTTTTTTTTGCTTTATATTTTTGTAGCAGATGTTGTTTGTAACACATGAATAACATCCCAAGCAATGTCTCTGGCAAAATGGGAACATGTAAAGGTAATCATTATGTATTGCCCTAGTTCTTTGAAAGAAGTCATTGAAACATCTAACACCATCCAGATCAAGGATCATCCAGTCGCATCCTGATTGACAACTTATCATACACAATGCAGAAGCAGAGTTGGCAGCAAAAATTCCAAATATGCAAAAGTGAACAAGAGCGTATAAAATGAATGGGTAAAGCAACCACAAACATACATGGGAAAAAATGGAAAGACACATTTAGCATGTGCTGCAAAGCCTATATTTCCAGACTTAAGATTCACCCTGTATAGTATATAATTCTGGTTTAAGTGCAACTAAGCTTCATTTCAACTTTAGGTAGGTTCACTTTTAAATAAATAAATAAATAAATAATTTATTTATTTACAAATACATACCACCTTTTTATATAAAAGTTAATAGGCAAAACTAATACAATGGCTCATAGAAAAGTAGCAAGGCTGATGCATCTCAAGTTCTCCCTATTGAATGCAAGAATGACCATAGAAAATCCACAAGAATGCAGTAAATCCTGATAGATACAGTTGTATAGGCTCATATACAGAGTAATGAAAGAAGTTAGGAAATGTTCAGTGGAGTGATTCCACATAGAAGACAGGTCACAATTTCTAACAAGGACATTTTACTAAATTTTTTATTTTACCATGTTTTGGTTGAAAGTCACTCACTATCAGTTCAATTAATTTCTAGGAAAAGATCAAGAAGAATGTATTTTGATTCTTACATGCACCAGTCACCTTGCTTGAGAAGCAATGGTATCATAGAAATGGCTAGAAATATGACAGGAAAAAGAATCTTGTTGGAGATGCATAAATTTTGTCAGATGGAGCCCATTCTTTTCTGTTGTCAAGATGTGATTACATGAGGTGGAGTCTTGAATTTCATGAGCAGATTCTGCCAGTGATTAGTGCTTAACTTGATGTGATGTAGTCATGAATACTATACCCAAGTTTCTATTTTGAGAAATCTGCCCCATGAGAGCTGGAAGAATAGAGAGCAGCTCCCTGACACTGATTTTTTCTTTTTCCAGTTGAAACAATTAAGCTAAATATCAAAACTTTATTTGTGATTAAGCATGGCATAACTAGCTTTAAAGTTACCTGACAAGGGAACCATCTTAAACTTACGTTAAAATTACATTTAATTTGAATAAATTAAACTTATAACTATGACCAATCTTCTTGGCCACTGTATGTAGTTATGTTTTCATTGTTCATTTGATAAAAACAATCATTGTTCAAACAGCTCCAAGGTTCATGGCTTTTGCATCCCAAGATCTCATTAACAGCTCAATCAAAACTGAGTATAACAGTAATGAAACATATACAAGTGGGTGATGAAAACAGAGCACACATGACATTGTATGTTCAGTATTTTCCTTCCCTTCTCACACATCAATGGCTACTATACAACCTATTAGCATGAATAAGATAAAAGGCTCAAAAAGTGCATGATAGCATTTTCTGCCTTTAACTTCCAGCATATTCTTTCCTGAAGAAATAATTTGCATTTTCATAAAGAAAGATCAATTGTCTCTGATGAAAATTACTTGATGGTTATAACCTGGGAATAAAGCTCACTGACACCATGGATGTGATTGATACACCACCACTATGCATATATGAATTTCATGTATGCGTTATGTACTTAGGCTGGAATTATTATTTTCATCTGGTTGATAAATAAAAAAAATATTACAAGAATCATTATCCAATGGCTTGGAAGTTAACAGAAACACAGCATTCCAAAAAAAATTGAGCAATGTAAAAACAACAGGTGAGGTAGACCCTTCCATCTGCTCTTAATTTCCCTATCCAATGTCCTGAAAAAGTCATCATTCATTATATAAGGAATTAAAGGAGATGAAATGAACTTTCCAATGATATAGAATTTGCTGTGATCATGGCATAGAATTTCAGGCCATGAACTGGCAAAGAAAGAGCTCTATCCACTCAAAAAGCTCCAGGGAATGCTTTTATTTTTCACTTCATTATGGTATACCAATAGAAAGGAAGTGAAATAGTAGAGGAGGGAAGAACAATGAGAGATAACCTAAAGTTAAAAGTGGTCACCAGAGACACCAATCTCAAAGGCATTTTTTATGCCAACTTCAACACTGGTATCTTTGCATGGAGATGAGGTATGTTGGGCTTATGGTATCATCCGTTAATTCTTGGGTTGTAGATACTATTCAAAAGGCAAGGTTAGGCTACATGATATACTTGCCAGGCATACCTTCATGAAAGTCAAAGTGCAAAATACTGAAGTCTAACCATGTCTGAAAAGGTTCTTTGGTTGCGGATACATCACTGTGTTAGTACAGGATTGCCTTAGGTGTATGCCTACACAAGCTTGGGAAAAGTGGTCTGACATAAGCTTTCGGTCCTATCAAATTTCATAAAAATGCTTCAATACTATGTTTTCTTTGCTTTGTCAAGGCCTACTTGCTGTGCTTGGCCTGCCAGTCTATGACTCACTCCCAGTACAGGATTGTTGAATGACGTGGCCTAAGCCTGGGTATGCTGGGCAAGAATCATCACGGTGGCCAACATGGTTTGGACATAATGGTACTCAGCCTGTGAATGAAGGAAGGACTCTATTTTCTATCACCTGAGCCTTGTCTTAAGCGTCTAAAGTTTAGGGTAAGCTTGGTTCAGCAAGGGTTAAAATTAGTTAAGCTAGCGGCACCCGCTGTCGCTGGCGGATAGGGAGCATCAGGTCAAGGCCATGCATTAGCTATTACTCTCTCAACATTGCTCGATTCAGTTATCGCAACAGTACGCTATGGCATAATTCAAACGTAAGCGAAGGAGACATGGGCAAGGGAGGGAAAGAATGATGACGCTGAAGCCGCGTGTTGAACATACCTTGAGACGCCATGTTGACGTAGAAGCCAGAGACATCTAGTCCCATTCGTGATAACCACCTCAGTCTGTTGTGGGCACGCTGGAAGTTGCATCGATGGATGCGATTAGCCCACGATTCCACGTGGGTTAATTGACTGCTTTATTCACTACTCCTTTCCCACTTCCTCGTTTCAGAGCTGCTTTGAAGCAACTCCGATAGAATTTGATTTCTGGTAGATAGCTTATTTCTGGGACAGCGAGTACGACCAGGAACCGCCAGCTCCTGTAGGTGGCAACGGCTCCCATCTTCTCCATTAGTACTTTCGATGCGAGGTTTAAAAATCTAAAGATCTGCGTTGAAAATCTACGACAAAGCGGAGCCTAAGGTCCTCTCTTTGCCTATTTTTTGGCAAATCAGTTCTCGAGTCTCAGGTTGTAACCCCTGCCCAAGAGCATTCTGCACTCAACTGATACTCAATTTCATGTTGTCTGCTTAGGGTAAAAGCAGGACGAAATTAATTTGTGCTCATTCTATTCAGTCATCCTCTCGGAGAAACTTTAGGAAAAGCCAAGTGCAGCGAGAGGATTCAAGGAAACATAATATCCATCTATTCGTACCATCTGCAAGAAAAGGCCACCCAGAAGAACGCGATGGAGGAGAATTCCGCTGCGGCCTGGAAGCAAGCAGAGTGCTCAGGCGTTTCCTCCTATCCGCTAAGCGGCACGAGCTCCATTTCCAATATCCGACTTCATTTAAATAACTGCTCATCGCCTTGCCTCTGCTGAATAGATTTCAATTTTATTTTGCAGATCTGTTGGAGACGTATTCATCTATGGATTGTGAAAGATAAAGTTCAATCCGCGAACGTTCCTCGCTGATGTAGATGGCAAGAAGAAGGCTTGATTCCGCTCCATTTCGTTGCTGCCCTCAATCATCGCATTTATAAATGGATTATGCAGAGGCTAGGATTTTTGTGATATCTCTTCTTGACGTTGCCGATCAGTTTTGCCGCTTCCTCTTTCTCTTTATCATCGGAGAACTTTGCTCGTCCATTCTGCAGGACGGAATGCATGAATATTGGATGAAGAAGCCATTGACGCAATCCGGCGTGCCACCCTCGAAGCCTCTATTCTCGGAGTCCTCTCATAATCCTGCTGGCATGCATTCTTCCGTGAGCTTGCACTTAATTATATCTGAAATCTCTGAAAGATACATTATGGTTTCGTGTCGTCACGAATCCCTTCGTTCTCACTGTGGACCTCGCTCACGCTGCCCTTGGTTTCTCCATAAATCCATCGAGAATGGAGTCAATCATACCTTTCGCTAACTGCAGTATTCATTCATCTGTCATTTTTCTAACTTCAGACTTCATTCATCTGTCATTTTCTCAGTTACTGCCCTCAGGGCAGAATAAAACGGCTACCCAAGGTTGGGCCTTAAGAGGGAATGCTTTGAAGATGACCAGTAAATGGTTGGATTGGATTCAGGTCCTGGAGTTGCAAATTGCATTTACCTGAATTTCCTATTCGTTCGAATTAACAAGCACATTCCGAAAAGATGTTGCATTCCTTTTTAGTTGAGGTGCCCCCCCCCAAAAATCCTGAGATGCATTCACGCCATTTTTTAGTAGGACACGTTCTATGTGGCCTCTATGAAATATTTGGTGCTGCAGGGCAACCTGGCTCTGTGGATGTTTTCCTTTTATGTGTTTCAGATCGTGGGGACAAACGAGATGATGAAAACCTTTTCTATCCTCTGCCTGAACGAGGAGAGAGCGAGGTCCACAGTGAGAACGAAGGGATTCGTGACGACACGAAACCATAATGTATCTTTCAGAGATTTCAGATATAATTAAGTGCAAGCTCACGGAAGAATGCATGCCAGCAGGATTATGAGAGGACTCCGAGAATAGAGGCTTCGAGGGTGGCACGCCNCCCCCCCCCCCCCCCCCCCCCCCGGCTTCTCGATGTAGGACTCTCCAGAGCAAGGGTCAAGAGAAACCAAACAACACAAGAATGGGATGTTTCCCACTGTCTTGTTGACTCGCCAACGGCCTCTCTCATCGTGCCGACGTCATCTCCACCACCTTCGTAAAGATCGATGACAGTCAAGTATTCATGACACGTGAACCCTTTGACCGGCATGCCCGTAAATTTTACGAGCTCCCGTGTAATAGGCGTCTGCGAAACTGGTCGGTGAAAGGGTTAAAGTGGCTTCGGTGAGGGAAGGAGGGCACGATCTTGATATATGCACGTAGAAGTCTCTGCCATGACCTTGCCTATCACTGCTTGGAGTGTGTGTCGATTCGCGGAGTTCAGATACTACCCAATATTGGAATATTCCCTACCTAGTCTCGAATATTTTGCATATTTTCGCTCTTCGTGATATTCACGTCAAACAGCTAAAACTGGTGTTCCATGGGTAAATTATTTTCGAATGATTCATAATGCAAATCAAGAAACAAGACTGAATGTATTGCATGAATCTCATTTTTGTTCTTTATAATCCAGACAAGTAGGGTACTTATTGTCGCCAGAATGACCTTCGATGACGTCACGAAGTTCACCGGCTACCTTTTCTCATGTAAATGTGGACATTCTTATCGTTTTTATCCAGGAAGCCCACAGTCTAATCTAACATTATCGTTGAGTGGCAGCATACACAAGGATACTGTATCCATGCAGCATACTGAAGTACATTCATTTTGATAGGTGGAACACAATGTATGCGAAACGACTTTTATGATGATGTTCCAGAGATTCCTCCTTCGAAGCTTCCTGAATTCCTCTTTCCTATCCCTCAGAGGCATCTTCTTTTTAGATGCAGAAGTTGTGGAGGAACAAGGGGCCATCAAATCCAGGCTTCAGCGACCCATATTAAATTTCTCTGGATTTTATTCCTGAATTCGCTCATATCAGCCGCTCGTGTCCAAGAAGGGAATCGAGACGACACCGATGATTCACGACGAATCTGAAATAATTTTCATAAATGGGACTAGATGATAATACATTTTCAGGGTGTGGGAACGAAGGAATTCATGGAAACTATCACATTTCACCACCATGGAGGAACGAGTTATCATGATGGTCAACGAATCCTTCAGTTTCTCCAAGAATGTGAGCACCATACCAATTATTGAGGTTAGAAAGCGTTATTTCACTTTTTAGTCAGATTGAGAGACCAGATTAGGGATACTTCGTGGAACGACGACCGCTCCCACATCTCTTCTTCAAAACATTGGTGAGTAATCAAGCTCAGACATTGGGGTTGAGAAGCATCAAGCAAGGATACCGATGGAGCCTACCTCTTCTGAAGTTACAACTCCGTCAGTTACCAAAAGCGACTGATGGCTGCCAGCAAGGGTAGGTCCTAATGTTTTCAAGAGGACTTGAAAAGAATCACTAGGGGATGGATTTAACTTTGAATCGTATTTAGGAAACGGTGAATGATGTCTAAGCGTAAAGGGCGTTTCACACTTTGTATCATACGTCATTCCCGTGGATGCTTGGGCAGATAGGCAGACGCACGCATGCACAAGCATGTCCATAGGCGCCGAACCCATAGGGGGGAAAGGGGTACGTGCCCCCCCATAATATTATTGGGGGGAGGGGGCCCCAGAGAATGGCCAAGTACAACAAAGGTACAGCACATGGAACATGGGAAACAAAATGCTGTTTCATGAAAGATATGAAAAATATGATTTTCCTATCTGTTTAGAGCTCCAACTGAGAGATCCCCGTCACTACGTTAGGATATGAGATGGAAGGTCGAGGGCCCTTGTCTCTCTCCATGCCCAGCACTCTCCCCCTCCGCTCGTCAAGCAGCCACCATAATAATACTGAGCTACCCCACTGGATCCTGGAACGATTCCGTCAATGTTATTTCAAGGACCGCCCCCCCCCCCCCTAACATTTTTTTAGAATTCGGCCCCTATGAGCATGTCCACTAACATCCGAAGGTGTTCACAAAACGCAAGGCTTGTGAGTGGGATTGGGATGAGTTCAATTGAAAACGCAAGCCTAGCGTTTTGTGAAAAGCCTTGATGTAAGTGGACATGCGTACGTCTGCCTATCTTCCCTAGCATTGACACGAAGGACGCGTGACGCGCCGAGTGTGAAACGCCCTCAAGCCACCAAAAGCAGTTAACGCACACATGCTCATATTCTCAGGGAATTTTCTAAGGTTAGGCTGATCGAAGCAAAAGAAACGGAACAAACTTTCAACTATTTTAGTAGTCGTAATTTTTCGCTGGCTCTTTGTCACGTTTCTGAAATCTCAGCTGTCAGAATAATCCTTGGACTTCTTCGTTGATGTCAATGAAATTGAACTGGAGAGAGCGCTGGAATGGGGGGGGGGGGGGGGGGGGGGGGGGGNGGGGGGGGGGGGGGGGGGGGGGGGGGGGGGGGGGGGGGGTACGGTTGCAAGGAATGGGAGAGCGCTCGCAGGCGAGAGTATATGCGCAGTTGCTGTACTAGGCCTCTCGGGCCTGTCCTGTCACCATCCGTTGATACGAGGATGGACGGGTTGAGCGGGCAACCAGAGACGTGCAGAGAAGTGAATGCACTGGAACCGAAGCCCTAGAGGCCCGGATCTAAGTGCCACGTTGCCAAGTCTATTCAGGGTCGGCAGATACACAACGATGCCCCGCCCCTTCCACCCGCATTCGTTTCACAGGGGATACTTTTTTTTAAATCTCGTTCGCCTACCCAACAGGTATAAAGGCCTCATACATCGCAAACATTTCTATATCCTCCAGGTCTCTCCTTTCGTATCTTTCCCGACCAGACAATGATTTGCACGATCGGATAGATGAAACCGTTACGTATCAACACCGAGTTGCCACAGGTATCCATGACGAACTCGCATGCCGATTCAGAATTCAAGCAGAGATTCAGCCAGTGGATGCCATAGCTGGAGTCCATATATTACCGTAAAAGGGTGGAAGGGGGGGGGGAGGGGGGGAGGTTGGTTTTCAAGCTGGTTTCTTTATTTAATTTCTCAGCATCATGTGCTTAACTCACAACACTCGCATGTCTGCACTTGTACAGTACCCCATATTCTGAGGGTCAATAACAGATTACAGGAAACAAGAAATAGGCCTATGCGAGGATATCGTTAAATTTACAATTTTCAACTTTTGAAGG